GTTCTCCCATAAGAGAGGACAGTTTAGCCTCAATTTTGAAAACGAAGTTTTCATTGGACGATATGTTGCAGACACCACATCCTGTGGAATCTGCGCTTATAGATGCATCTGTGGCCCATATTGATGCACCGATTGATTTAAACTCATGCAGTTTTTGAAGTACAGTGGATTTGAAAAATTCTTTGGGTTGTGAGTTTTTCACAACATTAAAGATGTTTAATAGAAAAGTGATTTTGGATCGTGGAGGTTCAAAATCACTGATTATTGTATTGTCAAAGATATTTTGAAATTTATTGTACACCAGACCAAAACTTGTTCTGATGGATGGGTTACTTGTAAACTGGTTATACGTGTTGTTGTGATATATTTTAAATTTCAATAGTTCTTTGGCTGCTAAATACTGTGCCCGTTTTTCAGGAGGCAAAATGACTGCTAAGGCGTAAAGGATATGAACTGGCGTGGATGGAGTTAGACCTAGACTTCTCCGAAGAATCTGGTTTTGGAACGTGGTTATTTTTTTGTTGATGTAGTTGGGCATATGAGCCATTGATGATATCGAGTATTCGATTTTAGAAAAAAGTAGTGATTTGGCCAAGTTTAAAGATATCTTTGGATTCACACCAAGTTTATGTGAGTTTATCATTTTCAAAGCATTTAAAGTTGTGCCGCATGAGTAAATTACCTCTTCATAGTGATTGCTTATGGAAAGGCTGTTTTTTATATGCCTTCCCAGAAACTTGATCTTGTTGACTGCGTTGATTGCAGTACTCTGTATTAAGATTTTAGGAACTTTCCTGGCTCCCTTTGCCACATACATAACGACAGTTTTTTCCGAGTTGTGGGAAAGATTTAAGGATTTCATTAGATTGCAAAACTGATTTACCTTGTTTTGAAGTAAGTTGTTGGCAGATTCAAACTCTTTGTGTGCGGTTAGAATGATGAAATCATCAGCAAATTGGAACGTTTTTGTATATTGATCGCAAATACCATGCAGGCCAAGAGTGTAGATATTGAATAGTGTGGGACTAAGGCAGCTGCCTTGTGGGAGACCGTTGTAAATTGGAAGGCTTTCATTACCCAATACTAAGATTCTGTGTTTGAGAAAATTGATCATCCAAGTGGATAATTCTCTTGGACATTGAATTTCGTTTAAAATATTATATAAAATTTCGATTTTAACACAATCATACGCTTTGTTGATGTCGAGTGACAATAGTATAACTTTTTCGCCTCTTTCTTTGTGAAAATTAATTGAATATAGCAGGTCATTTATGCACATTGACGCGGATAAGTTTTTCCTGTAAGCATATGTACTCTGTGGTAAAATGTTGTGCTGGTCGAGAAAAATTTGAAGCCTCTCTTTAACCATCAAATTTATAATTTTTGCAAAAACTGGAATTAGCGCAATTGGCCTGTAATTTGTAAATACCTCTAAGTCTTTTCCTCTTTTTGGAATGGGAACAATTTTTATTTTCCTCCACTCATCCCTGAAATGACAGTTTTTCCAGTCATTGTTAATGGCTTTAAGAAGGTTTTTTTTTGCAGATTGAGGCAGATTGTTGACCATTTCATATGTAATGCCATCGACTCCAGCAGCAGATGGTTTTTTCTTCTTGTTTAATATTAGTGTGAGTTCTTCGTGGGCGAATTCGGTAGATGAGTTCGCTGTCGCTGAGGGTAAATCAAGAGGATTGTTGTCTGGAACCTGGTTTTTAAGGTGTGTTAAAAATTCTTTATCGTTTTCAGAGCACCATTTGGTTTGTTGTTGCGCAGATAGTGAGTTTTTGCAACCACGAACGAATTTAAAAAGAGATTTAGAGTTCGGTTCTTCACTCAGTTCATTAACTTTCGAATTGAAAGACTTTATTTTTGCAAATTTTACAGCATTTCTAAAAGCTTTTGTGGCCTCAATCAATTTATTGGCGGTAAAACTGTTGCTACATAGATCATAGGACTTTTGCGCTGCTAATTGCAATCTAAAAGTTTTTTCCACTACTTGATCCCACCAGGCCTTGGGTTTATGTTTTCCTTTTAAAACAAATGTCGAATTCTTAATTTGGTTATTAAATGTCGACTGAATCGCATCAAAAGAAGGAGGAAAATCTGTTTGATTGAGACTAGATAATAACTTTTTTTTTGCCAGAAATTTCTGATTTTTCTTGTTGAGATTGCCTATTGTTATGAGTATAGGCAAATGGTGGCTTCCTCCGATTGAAATATTGAGAACTTTCCAGGAGGTATCCATGGTGGTATTGGTAAATGAAAGATCAAGTACAGATCCAGTTGTATCATTGACACGCTTTTTAAATGTGAAGTGTCCATTATTTAGACAGTAGTAGTCCGATGAGTCGAATAAGGATTTTATGATGTTGCCTCTATGAGAGACAAAGACGTCGCCATATGAACAATGTCTCGCATTGAAATCTCCGCAAATCAATACATTCGCCGTTGTGTTGAGGAAACAAAATAGTTTTTCAAGTTCTGTTTTGATTTCATGTGCCTTAACTGAGTGAGGAAAATATGTTGAAACGATTGTGAAGTTTGACGATAGGTTTGTCGTTTGGCATATAATTATGTCCAAATTGGTTTCAAATTTAATTCTTTTGAATTTAATGTCTCTTTTGAATAGAATGGCAACGCCACCGTAGTTGTCATTTCTTTTTTTCGAGATAATATTGTAGTTTATAAAAGAAGAAGCATTTTGATTTTCATCGATATTAAAGATTTCACTTAGGATGCAAATTTCAATATTCATTTTGTTTAAGTAAAATTCAAGGAAGTGCTTATTTTTTTTAAGGCTTTGGATATTATATTGTAAAATGTTCATAACGTTTTATTAGATAAATTAAAAAGTCAATGGATTTAAAATAGGCAATTTGTTGAAATATAATTAAAAATTGAAGCACTTGTTATGATTTTTTATTTGATGTTTGAGAATTATCTTGTTCATTTTCTTTATTTTTAGATGTGGTGGCTGAATTCGACAAGGATTTTTTGAAATTATCAAGGATGTTGAGACCTTCGTCACAATTTAAAGATGTGAGCAAATCAGACATTTGTTTTGTGAAAGCTGCTAAAACTTTTTCCATGTCGGAAACTTTGGAGAAGGACGGTTGCTCAAACATAGGCTTGGAAGGAATGACTATGGATGGACTCGCTACTGGATGTTTAATTATTATTGGAGGGGCTGCAATTTTGCTGTACTTCACTTTTGTGACCCTGCGATTTATTTCGTCATTGACGTTGATTTTTGCAGTAGTATTTTTACTGAGTGTCGGGAACTCTTTGTTGTAACCATCGTTTTCCAGAATGCTATAATAATTCTGTGACACGGGATATGTCTCTAAAACTTCTCTTCTACTCAAATTGGTAAGAGTCATAATTGATCTAACATGTTTTTCGAATTTCCATGTCGGGCACTTATTTTCATCTGTTGACACATGATCGGTATTGTTACAGAGAATGCATGTACGAGGACCACAATTTTCCACACATTTTGTTGTTTTGAGACATGTTTCACACTTTTGTTCTTCGCAATCATTTAGGCAAACGATTAATTTTCCACATTCGAGGCACCTTTTTTTGGTTTTACAGCGAATTGCAATATGACCTAAACGTCCACATTTTTTACACTGTCGCGTGGGGAGAACATAAAGCTCGGGTGTAACTCTTGTTCCACACATAAAAATAAATTTCGGGATACCATCAAAAATAATTCCAATTTTTACGGTTTCCGTTTCCTCGATCTCATTTTCCAAGTTTTTCCTTGTAAAACGTTGAACAGAAATGACCTCCATGGGATTGTTCTGCATAATGGATATCTTAATTGTAGATGTATCAATTTCTTTTGGGACATTTCTAATTACAAAGAAGCGTTGAATGAACCGATCAGGGATCATGGCATTTAAACCAATATCATGGAGTTTTTGATTTTGGGCAAACTCATTTGCTGCAGCAAAATTATTAAAGGTAAGTCGGAAGGTGTTATATCCAATGTTCTTGCATACATAATTATTTTTTATGTTTATTTTTTGCAGGAGAACATACAACCGCAGTTCACAATTTTTCCTTCTGGTGGCAATTGGCTCTTTTGTGGTCACAATGACATAAAAGGGCCCAGGATGATTGCTTGGGTATAACATTGTTGGATTTGTTGTATTTTCTTTGCCGTCAGAATTTCCAGACTCATCCGACTTGCTAATGGAGCTGTCATTGCCATTTTGATTTTTTATTGGAAGGCCTTCGTTGTTAATAAATTTTTTATTTTGATTAGCAATAAGATGGGCTCGTCTTTTATTGGGATCCCAAAGAGGCTTTTGAGGTGGTTGTGGGGGCGGTTCCCCATCCGCATCCATTTTTAATCTGAAAACAATATCAATTACAAATTGATTTTATTCGTCGAAGAAAAAGAAATATTTCCAGTTCCAAAAGGAATGAGAAATGTTCTAAGCAATAACAAAAAGCGCGCAGAACCGTGTATTTGTTGTTTATAAACAGAAACGACGGAATAGCGAAAGACGGGTTGAAAAAGCAGTCTAGCATCAACATATGTTGAGTAGCGACTGTTTTTACTAATTTTACCGCAAAACTGTAATTTCATAAAAAAATCGCCAATAACTCATTAATTCACGTGTTGTTCGTGTTGACATCACTGACATCAAATACAACCCTGTTGATCTTTTGACATTTGTTTTATTCTCATTCGTAAACAAATGAGCTCCTTTTTTTGTCTCCCTCCCACCTCATTCGTAAATTCTCCGTCTTCATTTTTGACTTCTTCTTTATCGGGCATTTTGTCATATCACATCCCATTCGTAACAGTTGGAACGTTTTTAAATGTGTCTGCAGTCGACCAGTCACATTCTGCGAGTTGTTAGACGCTGTCATATTTCCCGCCAAGTTTGCAAACTTGAGAGTTTATTTGCATCGCAAGCATTCGTTTTTGCTGATCTGTTCTTTTTTACAATTTAACAAATTTTACAAACACATTTTAAAATATTTTACTTCTACAATGGCGGACTCACCATGTAACTAATCCACTAAACAAAAAATTTGTCCAAAATGTAATATTCTCATTTGTCCCCCTCCTTAGGTGAGCCACGAGCAAAAAGGCAAAAAGTTGATAAGGCAGGTCGTTTTGCTGCCCTGGCCAAACTGAAAGAATTAAAAGGTAGCAAACATAAGTATGAAGTTGAAGAGGAGGTCGATAGTGTATATGAAATAGTCGATGAACGTGAATATGCAAAGAAAGCAAAGGAATTATATGGTGATGATTGGATAGAAGATGGTAAGTCTGCGGATATGCGTTACCGAATGTATTTAATCTATAAAGCGGCATTGTTTTAGATGGCACCGGCTATGCCGAAGATGGTCGTGACTTTTTCGAAGATGAGGATGAATATTCAGATGATGATGGTGCCGCCAAGACATCTAAAGATCAAAAGAAAGGTGCCAAGAAACGTCCACGGGAAAGTGATAAACCAGCCAAAGGCAAAGGTTCCATACGAAATCTCTTCAGCAATGCTGTACCTAAAAAAGCACCTGCAACTTCAATTAAAGATGATGACATTTTGAACGATATCTTGGGTGAGCTGCAAGACAAACCCAAAGACGCTTCAACTTCCAATGAAGCAGCCAAACCACAAAAAGTAATTGCCCCTGCCCGTATTGTTACCAATGCCAGAAAATCAGATGCGGCTGTGGCCAAGGAGTATATGAACAGTTTCATCAACAACATCAACATGAAAGAGTCGTCAAAGAAGACTAAAGAGACCAGTGATGATGAACTACTAGATAGTATTCTTAAATCAAAACCAAAAGAAAAACCGAAAACTTCCACAGCACCGGTTGCAACTGTCGTAAAACAACAAGAAACGAAAGTAGTTGAACCCAAAGAAGAGAATAAAGAAAACACTAAAGAATTAAAATCTGTTCCAAAAGAAAAAGAAGAAATCGCTGTCGCATCATCTTCTAAGGAACCTGTTATACCAGATGATGATATGGATTTCAGTTGTTTACAGGATGATGAAAATCAATTTGATTTGGAGAAAACTGTTGGATCTACCAAAACCGTTGAAACGCCCACAAAAACAAAAGTACCCGCTCCAACTCCCGAGGAAGATATGCAAAAATTACTCAATAATTGGGAAAATATTTGTCAAATGGATGATTTTAATGAAGAACTGACATCTGCTCCGGTAACTAATGGCACAGATGCCTTGAGTGCCCAAGAGAATTTACGTTTCTGGTATTGGGAAGCATGGGAAGATCCATTACGTCGTCCAGGTGAAGTTTTTCTCTTTGGTCGTACCCAAGAGGGTAAATCGATTAGTGTACGGGTGGAGAAAATTGATCGGGTTATATATCTACTGCCGAGAGAATATGTAAGTAAAATTGTGTCTTTGCATATTACGATAGAGCTTGCAATATTTAAAATAGAGCCTTGATATTTTGCGCATCCATCGCTAATACACCAGAATGTTGGTATTGGAGCTCGCTTTGGTAAAGCTCCATGAAATTTGCCATCACATTTTCGGTATTTTGATTCGATTCGATTTAAAAAGGATGTAATTAGGCATTCCTGTTTTTTTAGAGAGGAAAATTTCTCTACGCAAGTCTTTAATATTAGGTAAAATCAGGGTAGTTGATATGACATGCTCGGTCGATTAAGTTATTTTAATGTTCGTATATGATTTGACATGGCTCTTATGTAATAGTCTCGACTGATATTTTGAAGGTCATAGCCTCATTTTCGAAACATAGGACCTGTAATTTGTCGGTATTGAATATCGGTCACATACGTCTATTTATTTCTGTAGGAGACCTATATCGGTACATCATACGAAATGTTTATTCAGAGTTGTCCTGATAAGCACTAAAAATATTTGTGTGGTTAGAATTGGAGTCAAGTTTTTCCTTATTTTATGATTTCAATATGTATTTAATTCACTCTATTCGATCTATAATTCTAGCTTTTGGATCCCATCACCAAGGAACCAACGAAACAAAAAGTCACACTGGCAGATTTGTATAAAGAATTCGATGAAACCATATCGAACGATTTGAAACTTGGCGAGTTTCGTTCACGCAAAGTAACAAAGAATTTTGCATATCATTCGATAGGAATTGATGTACCACAACAATGCGATTATATGGAAGTGCATTACGATGGCAAGAAACCTCCACCAAATACTAAAGTTAAATATAATTCCATTGCTCATATTTTCGGTACAAATACCACATCTCTGGAAAGATTTATATTGGATCGTAAAATAAAGGGACCTTGTTGGTTAAATTTGAAACAATTCAAAGTAAATCCTGCACCGATGAGTTGGTGTAAAATTGATGTTACCGTTAGTGAACCGAAGTTTGTGGTACTAACTGAAGACCCCAAGCCAGTGCCACCACCACCCATTACTCTGCTAACGTTAAATGTACGCACATCGCTTAATAGCAAAACGCTGAAAAATGAAATATGCATGATATCCATGTTGGTTCACAATCGTTTTCAAGTTGATAAGCCACCACCAAATCCGCCATTCAATAAACATATGTGCGGCCTTACTCGACCTGCAATGTGCACTTGGCCATTTGATTTGAATGCCAAGTTAACCAAATTCAACGCCACCAAGATCTTCAAACATGACTCCGAAAGGGCTTTGCTCAGTTGGTTCTTGGCTCAATATCAACAAATTGATGCCGATCTCATTGTGACACACGATGCACTGGATTGTCAACTGGATGTTATAGCTGATCGTATTGTCACTTTGAAAATACCACAATGGTCTCGATTGGGCCGTCTGCGTATGTCTCAAGCATTCGGCAAGAAAATGTTGGATTTCTTTATAGGTCGTATGGTTTGTGATGTGAAACGTTCCGCCGAGGAATGTATACGATCCAGATCCTACGATTTACAAACTCTGTGCCAAAATGTCTTGAAAATCAAAGAAAATGATCGCATGGAAGTGAACGAAGAAGATCTCTTGGAAATGTTTGAAACTGGTGATGGTGTTATAAAATTGGTAACCCTAACCATGCAGGATGCATCATTCATCTTAAGGCTAATGTGCGATTTGAATATTATGCCATTGGCTCTGCAAATAACCAATATTTGTGGTAATATTATGACTCGTACTCTACAATCGGGTCGATCGGAACGTAATGAATATTTGCTGTTGCATGCCTTCACGGAAAAGAATTACATAGTACCCGATAAGAAGAAAAGGGAATTCAACAACACAACCATTGACTCTGAGTCCATGGATGCAGATAGTACAACAGCCAATGCCACGTCTGCTGCAGGCGGTGGACGTAAAAAAGCTGCATATTCCGGTGGTTTGGTGTTGGATCCCATCCGCGGTCTTTATGACAAATATATTCTATTGATGGATTTCAATTCTCTATATCCGAGTATTATACAGGAATATAACATTTGTTTTACCACAGTTCAACAACCATACAACCCGGAGGATGTACCACAATTACCGGAATCGTCGCTGGAACCCGGTATATTGCCGCAACAATTGAGGCGTTTGGTCGAATCACGTCGTGAAGTTAAAAAGCTAATGGCTCAACCAGATCTTTCACCCGAATTGCAAATGCAATATCACATCCGTCAAATGGCTTTGAAATTGACGGCCAATTCCATGTACGGTTGTTTGGGTTTTGCCCATTCGCGTTTCTTTGCTCAGCATTTGGCCGCTTTGGTTACCCTAAAAGGTCGTGAAATTCTCATGAATACCAAATCTTTGGTACAAAAAATGAACTACGAAGTCGTCTATGGTGATACAGATTCCATTATGGTTAATACCAACATCACCGACTATGATCAGGTATTTAAAATCGGAAGCGGCATTAAGCAGAGTGTTAATAAATTATACAAACAATTGGAATTGGATATTGATGGTGTATTCAGCTGTCTATTGTTGCTGAAAAAGAAGAAATATGCAGCCGTTAAAGTTGTCAAGACAGCAAAGGGTTAGTAGTTATTATAGGTTGTCGATAATCGCATATTTACATCTGCTTTGTGAATTGCAGGTGAATTGAAAAAGGAACAGGAACACAAAGGTTTGGATATTGTACGTCGTGATTGGTCTCAAATTGCAATTATGGTTGGTAAAGTGATACTCGATGAAGTGTTATCGGATAAACAACTTGATGATAAACTTGATGCGGTGCATTCACATTTGGAAAAGGTACGCGATCAAATATTAGCCGGTGATGTTCCCCTGCCAATGTTTGTGATTACCAAACAATTGTCTAAAGCCCCAACTGATTTTAACAACTCTTCAACTCAACCTCATGTTCAAGTTGCATTGCGTATGAATAAAACTCGTAATCGCCGATATAAAAAAGGCGATATGGTCGATTATGTTATATGTCAGGATGGAACGTCGAATGCTGCCACACAAAGGGCATACCATTTGGATGAGTTAAAGGGTAGTGAAACATTAAAATTGGATACCGACTATTATCTATCATCGCAAATTCATCCGGTTGTAACGCGTATGGTTGAGGTGTTGGATGGAACAGATGCAAGTCGTGTGGCTGAGTGTTTGGGTCTGGATCCAACTAAATTTAGAGCACAAGTTCAGAGGTAAGATAGCAAAGGCAAATAGCTTATGTAAAGTTTTTTATATTGTCATGACGCTACATCCAAATTAGTTGAGAGCTGTTTCTATAAATTTCTTAAGATATTTCTTTTTTGCTTAAGGACATATGTAATTGAGTTGTATGATTAGGATGACTCTCTGAAACACCTATGCAGGTGTTGCTACGAAAGCATATTACTATGCTAACTTAAGGGAAGATTGGAAGAATTGATTTGCAAGAACGAGTTAAAAATGCTGGTGAACTGTATTAGTTGGTGGTCGGAATTGTATGTCCTCAGACCACCACCTTCAGTGACATTCTCATCTTCACATTTCATGTCGTAGCAATTGGAAGAAGGGTATTATATAGATGAGATAGGAATATAAACATATAACACACGACTTTAATGTTAGGACCCAACGTTGTGATGTTAAAAGGTGTGAAATGCCGAAAGGTATAGGTTAAACTTTTCCGAAGATATCACCTCGTCTATGGGGTTTGCAATTAAAGCTTGTTTAACCTTCACGTACGACTGGTTTTTAAAAACGCAATTTATTATAAAATTACAAATCTCGACCTGTTCTTAACTTATGTGCGTGGAAGCCATATTAATTATCTGCATCTGTTTAACTTTTCCCGATGCTGGGGAGGAATATGACCACAAAAGTCTTTGCTACTGTAGGTAAAAATGTGATTCACATTTGCTGGCAACCTTGTCTGACTTTAGTGGCTCAAGCTCATTTTCATGCTTTGAAAATGATGTAGCTTCCTATAGACAAATGAGGACTTCAGCCAGGTTATCCATTCCCGGAACATGCCGGGTTTGGTGAAATAACTTTCGATATAAAGCAGTCAATTTCGGTGATATAAAATTGCCTAGGTCGTTGGAATATCCGAAGGACTTCGAAACAGAACATATCCTGATTGGACATCTACTGATTTGATGGGATTTTATTGGCATAGATTTTGTTGTTTACAGTCACCAGCTTGGTAAACACTGTTTGCTCTCAGATAAATTTTGATTATCTTGTGATTCTTTACAGACACCTTTATAACTATTTATATTTATCAATGTATTTATTTCCAGAACCTATGAAGAGCGTGCCGTCGATTCCACTGGCGAGTCTTTGGTCAAGAGCACTTTACAAAAATATCGTGCCTGTGAAAAATTCAAATTCATATGTGTACGTTGCAAAACTGAAAATATTGTGGCGGCAGCATTTAAACCATCTGCTGGTAATACCTATGAAGCTGTTCTGCAAAAATGCTCGAATCCCGATTGTTCCATTGGACCGTATCAATATGTCATAGCCATACGTAATCAATTAATACTTAGTATGCGTTCATTTATTACACGCTTCTATCAGAATTGGTTAGTGTGCGATGATCCGGCCTGTAATCAAAATACTCGCTGTTATACACACGTGACCAGTGGTCGTCGTCCCGTTTGCATGCGCTGTAAAAATGGTACACTGGTGCGGCAATATACCGAAAGAGATCTCTATGATCAGTTAAGTTACTTCCAATATATGTTTGATTTGTCAAAACATCAGCATAAAAGTAAGTACGATGGAGTTGCATAGTAGCAGCTAATAGATGATGTAATTTTAATGTATATTCTCTCGTTGTTAGATGTTACCATATCACCTGAGGTTTCCGCAGCTTATCACGTGTTACGTGAAACGGTTGATCAGCAATTAGAGAAATCCGCATATTGCACTATTGCCCTGTCGAAACTATTTGCCGGTTGGAAACCATTGCATCAAGATGAAATTATACCTCAAAAGAAAATCGATATGCCAACGGTACAGGTTGCAGCCACATTGGATGATATATAGTTTGTAGGAAAGTGTTCATCTGTAAGCAGCGCCAATTGTTGAGGTGTTTCTTTTACATGTTTATTATCATTCATATCAGTAGTCCATAGAAATTGTAAAAAGAGAGTGTTTAAATATTTATAACAGCACTAATTTTATGCATGTTATTACCAAAATCAAATTTATTGAAATATATTTACAGTGTACAATAACAAAAAAATTATTGCTTTTTTCTTGGGTTTCTGATGGGATCAGGAATGATATAAGCAGACGAATGACGGACATATTTTTTTCTACAACTAAAATATTTGCAAACTAAAATATTTTGTACAACTAAAAAATTTTGTACGACTAAAATATTTGTAAATAACCTAACATGTACAATTATTTTCGGTGACCATGTTGCTAAATCTACGAAATGTTTAATATTCATACATTTGTTTGATATCATTATCACCAATTGTTGGCAATCATATTTTTATTTGTAGTACACATTTTCATTATCATCCATTCCCTATTGACATTGAAATGAAACTATCTTCTTTGTTGAAATTCTAAAAAAAGTAATTCGTCACATATAATTCTTAGGTAATGCGACTTCAAGAAGTTAAATACTTTATTGTTAACTATAAAACAAATAAACAAAAAAAAAAACAATATTAAAAGATAAACAAAAAACACACAAACATAAACAATACGTTGCCGTCAATGTTTTTACAACACACGTTGGTAGCTTAACAGAAAACCGGTTTGATTTGCAAAAGAAACTGCGGAAGAAGTTGTATTTCCTTGAATGCATTGTTGTGGTCGTCTATGAGAAAATAAATGGTCAATGTTTTGGCCAATAATTGATAAACATAAAGACGCCATTAAGTTTACAGATAATACAAAATCCTATGAATATAGTGATAATGGTGTGATATAGATATAGTGGTGTAGGCTGCCATTATGTTATCTTAAATCAGTTCCATTCTTTTTATAGATTTTTACAGCTCACCAGACATATCCCTTGCATCCCAAATACCAACATCAAGAAATTTTTGGTACGATCAGGAGTGTCGTAATGCTACTGAGTTGAAAAACACAGGGTATAGGGCAATCCTACAAACAGTAGCAACACGCAATGCGAGAGAGAATTGTCGGAGAAAATGGGAGAGGAGAAACGTATTTTCAAAACAAAGAGCAAGAAAACGTGAGCGGGAATAAATCGAGATGTACAGGACTGAAGTCCGGATATTTTACCAACGAGTAAAACACCAAACCGAAGGCTTTGGTGCAGGCACATCTTCCTGTAGAGACGAAGAAGCAAACCTGGTGACAGATACAGACAGCATGTTGAGAATTTGGAAGGAGTAGAACCAGAGTCAATAAAAGATGACGGTATAGAATTTATACCACCTAGCCAAGATGAGGTCAGAATAGAAATTAATCGGCTGAAGAACAACAGAGCAGCAGGTGTCGATGGATTACCAGCCGAACTATTCAAGTCCGGTGGTCAGACGCTGATCAGGAGCATGCACCAACTGATTAGTAAAATTTGGATTGAGGAATGCATGCACAATGATTGAACTTCAGCATCCTGTGTACCGTGCACAAAGACGATATGTGTCAACTATAGAGAGATTAGCATTCTTCCCATCGCATATAATGTGCTATACAGTGTGCTGTGTGAACGATTGAAGTCAATGGTCAATGACATTATTGGACCATACCTATGCGGCTTAAGGCCTGCAAATCCACCTGCATGTATTTTTCTTCCTATGGGAATGCTGGAGGTATTATTCTTGCTGTAAAAAAGCTGAAGGTATTCTTCTTCCTAGATAAGAACTGTAGGTGTTCTTCGTCCTGATGACGAGTTCTAGGTATTCTTCTTCCTATGCAAGAGCTGCAGGTATTATTCTTCCTTTGAAAGAGCTGCAGAAATTCCTCTTCCTGTGGACGAGAAGATTCCGGCATTCTTCGTGGGGAAGAGCTGCAGATATTTTCTTCCTGTGGAAGAGATGCAGCTATTCTGTCCATCTTAAACCTCAGTTTAGGGTCTAATATTACTCCTAGATCTACGAAAGACGAAATATTTTCCAACTTATAAGAACCAATGTGGTAATCAATTCAGATTTGTTGCATTCTAAATAATGATAGCTTCTTACATTTTTTTAAGATTTAAAAAAAATCCATTGGCGCTACACCAGTTAGCCAAAGAATACAAATCGAACTGTAAAAGATTGGAATGACTTGAAGATTCAATATGCCGGAAAAGCTTAACATCATCAGCATACATTAGTATTTTTGAAAAGCGGATAACGGAAGGAAAGTCATTGATGTAGGGAATAAAAATAAGAGGTCCTAAGTGACTACCGTGTGGAACCCCCATAAGACAGTAATATTCCTGGATAATGAGTCATTAAGTAACACATTCTGCGAACGACCTTCTAAGTAGGTAGATATCCACTTTGCTGAAATCGTTGTATATAACATCAGTCTGCAATTTTTTACTAAAACCCTTGTGAACTTCATTAATGAATTCCAAAAGGTTTGTAGTTTTTAGATCTGCCTTAGAGTTTACGAACTTATAGAAACTTTTTGGATTATTTTTTGTTAATATTACACAGTCGCATTAAAGTAAACCAGGCAGAACGTTGGTCAACTTCACATGTATTTTCGGCCGATTTCATCCCAAATGCCATATTAATACTCGGTCCAAACTTAAATTGTCTTCATTTCACCCAGAATTCCAAAATAAGTATTTATTGAGGAAACATATTTTACACAAAAAAACCTATTATTTTATAAAATAATCACGTCTATATCTTAATGTAATAAATCTAATTTCAAATATTTCATTGTAGAATATTTAATTATTTTTACTGTTGTTAAATTTACTCCCACGCTATATTCAAGGTAGTACGTACTGACCCTATAAATCTTTAAACGATTTTAACATAAACAGAAACATGGTAATTGTCTGCACTACAATTTGATGGGATAGAAGAGATGTTAAAACAAAAGACTTAAGAGACAAACTTAATGGCATTACAGACAAAACATTACCGCAATTAATCGCACAACATAATTTTTATTTTATAATTCCTTAATTTAAATTAAAATATTAGTAGAGATTTCTTGGAGTCTATATTTTTGGTTGGTGTTTTTTATGTGGTCATTTGAAAATGATAGGGCATTTCAATTCAACAATACCAACAATGACCAATGAAACAAGTAACCAATTATGGATATAAATAACATTAGTTGTTGTTATTGTTTGTATGGATGTATGTACGTGTGTGTATCTTCAATTGAGCATTTGTAAACCAAAGAAGTGTAGCGGCTGGCTTCCGATAATTTTCAGCATTTTTTTTTGTTTGTTACTTACTCAGTTACACGTTAATATGTTTGTACATGTACCCCAAAAAATAATGACAGCCATAGTTTTGGCTTATGACTGACTGACAGACTGTTTGCGGCTGTGTCAGCGTTCAAAGACCCTGAAACGCATTAGTGGATTTGAAACAATTACGAATGCATGTTGCGTACTTCAAGTTCATAGATGTGTCAGAGTCATAAATACGTTTACGAAAACTAAAAAAAGAGTAAACAATTTCCTATTTAGACAATTTTATGACTCGGCTTGTAATGGCCGATGACCCGAACAACTTAGAACCTTTATGTTTAGGATTCATGTTGTGGTGTAAAACGGTGTAAAAACCAAGAATTATTACTAACACATAAAATAGGGTGGAAGGTTTTAAATGAGACGAAAAGTAAAGCAAATTTGTGTGGTGACCTCTTGTTATGATGATATAATTCGGGGTGATGAACTGTTGAAATTTGTAATGAATTTCAAATGGTTTACGAAACTGTCTATGGATATACAGGTAAATTTGGTCATTTTGTCACCTTAGGTTATATCAACAATTATTTTACCGCAATTGAATTCTTTGATTTGTTCATACTGCCCTCGTTTCAAAAGGCTTGAATTTATGAAAGACCCACATGTCTTCTTCTGTCCTTTATGGAGGTTAGAAATAAGCATTGAATAACATGATTTTTACAAACGATTTTTTTGGGTAGAAAATAGGAAAGGTGGGTGTCGTAGGGGATGAAAAATACCATCAGACAACGGGATGAGGTAGTTAGCAACACCCAATTCAAGCATCTCTATATACACAAGGCCACCTGGATTTCTGCCGATCAAACAAGGAGAAATCAAGTCGATCATGTTGTGATAGACGGAAGGCATTCATTCAGTGTTTTAGACGTTTGATCGATCCCAGGAGCGAATATATATTCGGACCACTACCTTGTAGCAGCCATGATTGAAGCCTACTCCGCTCAACTTGCCCACCTGCTTAACGAAAACACGTATTGTCCCGATAATAACATAGAAGCACAATGGCAAAGAATTGCCCACGCCCTATAAACTGCAAGAAAACCAACACTTAGTTACCAAATACCACCATCAAGAACGCCGTGGTACGATCAGGAGTGACGTAATGCTACTGATGTGAAAAACGCAGCATATAGGGCAATCCTGCACACAGTAGCAACACGCAATGCGAGAGAGAATTATCTGGAGAAAAGGAGAGAGGAGAAACATATTTTCAAAAATGAAGAAGAACAAGAAAAACATGAGCGACGTATGTAAAGGAGTCGAAATGAAGTCCATAAATGTTACCAACGAGTAAAACTCTAAACCGAAGGGTTTGTGCACCACATCCTCCTGTAGAGATGAAGAAGGAAACCTGGCGACAGAAAGAGGCAACGTATTGAGGATCGGGAAGAAGCATTTTGCAAAGCTCCTGGTATTAAATAGTAACGATGAAGAAGATACCCCAGAACCAATACGAGATTACGGTATAGATTGTATACCACCTAGCCAAGATGAGGTCAGAATAGCAATTAATTGGCTGAAGAATAATAAAGCAGCAGGTGCTGATGGATTACCAGCCGAACTATTCAAGGACGGTGGTCAGACGCTAGAGGAATACATGCCCAATGATTGGAACCTCAGCATCCTGTGTCCCGAGCCCAAAAAAT